TTTATCTCAACGAAAAGGACTTTCAAATTACCAAATATAGAGAAAAGAAGAATAAAAGAAGAAGATAAAGAGACGAAGAAGAAGATTTAGTAAACAATCAAAGTAATTATTAATTTACTTTTACTCCTATTCTTTAAAAAAGAAGTGCAAAAAATAAAACTAAGGTTGCTTTTGATTAATTTTTAGAATCGTGATTCCAATCAAAAAATTTCAAAACTCATAACTAAACACTCAATTCAAAACTCTTTTCAAAAACTCTTTTAAAAATTCATAACTAAACTTTTTTCAAAACTATATTTTGTTTATAAAAAAAAATCGAAAAAATATTTTTTTATTTTCTTCTTTAATATTATGTTTTTGAAAAAATATTGTTTTAGAAATTTTTTTTTAATTTTTGTTTTTTTCAAAAACAAATATTGTTATTTTTTGAAGTATTGGCCAAATAATTTTTTATGATTTAGATATATATATATATATATATGGCCAATCTAAAATTTTAAAAAAATTAAAAATTAAATACTTCAAAAAATAAAAAAATATTTAAAATGTTAAAAAAATAAAATATGTAAAAAAGATATTTAAAAAATAAAATAAAATATTTAACACAAAAAATATGAAAATATGAAAAATAAAAATTATATATTTAAAATAAAAAATAATTAAAATATTTAAAAAAAAAATATAGAGTACAAATGTAGTAAATACAACACACATTAAAATAAATAAATAAATATTTACCCTAAAACATAAAATAGTTTTTTTTTAAATATTTAAAAAAAAATCATTTCAAAATACAATTCGAAACTCAAAACTATTTTCAAAACTTATAACCAAACAAAATTTTCCCTTTTCAAAACTCATTTTAAAAACTTGTCTTTCAAAATATAAATTCACACTCAAATCATGATTCTAAAATTAAACCAAATGAACTTATCTATATTTCTAATAAAAGAAATGGTTATTTGTAGCGGAAATAAGTGTAAGAAACAGTTACCTATTAACTATCTTATTCTCTCATCTTCATTCCTTCCAACTAGGGGTGATAAGCAAACCGAACAAGCCAAACAGTTAACTGTTCAAGTTTGGTTTAATAACTTTAACAAGTTTCAAATTTGTTCAAACTTGGTTTGCTAAACTTTCGACCCGATTTCAAACAAGTTTTCACTACAAGAAAAAACACCTTTGGCGACCACATTTTTTGAGATGGTCGCAAAAAGTACACTAATCTGTGACCAACATTTATTTTGGTCAAGGATGATTGTGTTTTCGCGACCAACATTTTTTTGGTGGCTAATAAATAAGTATTTGAGACCAAGTACAAAATGTGGTCGCCAAAAGTAATGGCGGGAGAGCGAAAAAAAAAAAACGGGACGTCAAACCTTTTGGTGACCAGTAGATTGTGGTCACAAAAGCAAAAAGGGTATGCTGTGTAACAAAACTACGTAGTTTTGACATTCTTAAATCAAAAACACGTTTCCTTAGCCTTGGGCTTCCTTCATTGTTGCCCTCTTTCCTTAATCAAAAACACGTTTCCTCTCTACTACTCTCTATACTTCCGATCGGTTCATCAAACCCTAGCCACCATCTCCTCACTTCGTCACTTGTTTTTGCTGTTTTTCATCTTTGCCTCTGCCTTGTACTTACCAGGTCAGTCTCTCTCTCTCTCTCTCTCTCTCTCTGTGTGTTCGTGTATATATATAGTCGACTGACCTTCATTTTTCATCGTTGCCCTCTTTCAACTCCCCATGTCAGATTGGTTACTATCCTGCAACTCCTCACTCTCTACACTTCCAATTGGCTCATCGAAACCCTAGCCACCATCGTTGCCCTCTTTCAACTTCCCTTCTCATCCCCAGTCCTATCATTCTCACTCCAAACTCTTCTTTCATCTCTCTCCCAGACCCAAACTCCGATTCTCCACCAAGGTTTTATTTTATTTTAATCTCCATCATTTGATTTTCATACATAGACTTCCTAATTGATTCGTAATCGATCTCTGCTTCTCTCTCATTTTTCTTATATACCCTTGTGTTTGTATATTTGTTTCTGATACAAGATTTTTTTATTTTTTATTTTTGAATATTTTCTCTTCTTTGTTTGTTTACTGAGAAAACCGAGCATTAGAACCAAAATTGTATTGGTGGATCTAATCTAAGCTTACTGGAGGTTTCTATTGCCTTTAGTGGCAATTACTAGATGTTTTCCTTTTCTTTTTGGGAATTTCTTGTTGGTTTCTTGTTTTGCTTGGTGTGGTGTTTTATTCTATAAATGATTTGTGTTTCTGTCTTTTAGAACTCAAAATCAGAAATTGAGCCATTTTGAACTTGACTCATTCATAGATCAGATAATTTCATATGTGAAGATTCAAATTTGTCTATTTCTTTTTTTAAAAACATAGAATTGTCTAATCTTAATTCATGTGATTCAAAATCTATTAAGATTAACTTCTTCATGAATTTTGAATTTACTAATGTATAAATTTGGAAGATTTGAATTACTTAATTTCAAAAAATGAAAAAATTCAATTTGTTCAATCAAATCAACCCACCCCAAATCCCCCAACGAAACACAGCCTTGATGAATGTAATAATTCTTTTTTAAGTGTTGTGGTTCATTGAGTTCTATTTAACTGTTCAACATTTCAATATTTGTTATGGCTTAGTAAAAAGTAGTTGATCTAGGCTTTATGGTTTTTGCATATTTCTAGTGATAAAAATGTATGTTTGTACATGAAAGAAATACTAGTAATTAATTAGCTTTGTTAATAGGCACATTTAGTCCATGTTTGTCTAGATGGACTGGATAAAAGGGCATTGTAATCGATCGGACTATTAATTCCGTGATATATAATCCCTGAACTATTTGATTGGAAAGAATGTATAACCAATATAGCGGTCCCAGTTTTGACCCGACTCTTCTGGTATTCTGGACTCAGGTTTAATGCTTTGATATTATTGTTTACCTCTTTCTTCCCTGTATCTATTCAAAATTAGCTTTTGGGTTGTTGTGGTTATGGTTCTGTTGGGCAGGTTGGTCGCTTCTTTTTCAATCTTGTGTTGCCTAGAATTTTGGTCCTCCGCTCGAGCGATAATTCCTGTGCTTGAGCGGGCTTTGCAAACTCTCAGTAATTTTGCAGGTCTGCAAAACTACTGGGAGAGTGATTTCTACGCTTGAGCGGCGTTTTCTATGCTCGAGCGGGTGGGCACTCAAGCGGCCTTTCATGCGCTTGAGCATTGGTCTATTGTCTGCAAAACTACTGGATGTGTGTTTTCTACGCTCGAGCATCACTTCTTGCGCTCGAGCGGTGAGCGTCATGTTCATTGTGTCTTGGCACTTGAGCGCCCTTTCTTGAAATCAAGTGGCACTTCTCGCGCTCGAGCGGACAGTGCATATATCAGATCACGATGATGACCTTTTTCATCACTTTTTCACTCCTCTCTCTGTAAAACTCTCCAAAACCCTAAATCTTGAGTTTTTTTTCTCTAAAATTCATCTTCTGTCTTCTATTTCACCTAGATCCATTGGGTTCTTCACCCTAGTGTCTTTGAGAAAAAGGTAGAGCACGTCGTGGGCTCTCTTTTCATCCGAACAAAAGTGGGTTTCGGTGTCTTTGGAGTTTTAACCTTGCTTTGCTTGTCTTCTCTTCTTGAGGTTGGGATTTTCTACACTTTCATATGGTCTTTAGCTTAGTTATTTGACGTTGTGCAACAATGGTGGGATTTGGGAGTAATTTGAACAAACCTATGGTTTGAGTGTGAAATAAAAAGAGGGGTTTTTAATAAATGGTTATGGAGTTTGTAAATGAGGTTGTATTGCATCAAAATTGATGATTTTGGAACTTGGGTTGATATTTGGAAAAAATGGGTGTTTTCCCTAAAATGATTATAATATTTATTTTGTATAAATAAATGAAATTGGTGTTGTAAACATGAAATTGGGCGGATATTGAAATAAATGATGGAGTTGAGTATGTAATACCTCTCACCTTTGGAAGTTTTGAATAAATTATCTGTCTTGAGATTAAATATCTATTTAGAAATAACTGTATTGGGCTATCGGTGGATCATAGCTATGATTGTTGTAAAAATTGCATGAGGATTAGCTGAATTGAAACTAATCTATTGTTGGTTGTCATTGAATATGACTATGCTTAAATACATTGTATATGTATGATGTTTGGGAGGAGAAAGGGGATGTACTTCATTGTTTGGAAGGAGATAAGGGATAGACTCCATTGAAATTAAGTTGGCCAGAGTGTTTATAGTGAAAGTCCCGAAATCTTGTGTATACATAGGTGCTGATCCCGCGAACGAAATTTTCGTAAAATGACAGATTGAAGAGTTTGTGTGGTATTGTATTGACTTGGAAAGCCACTGAGTTGTAGTCTCAGTGGGTTAGTTGAAACATAATGAAATTGGTTCATGAATTGAAAAGGGTAAATTAATTTGAAATGAATTGAAGGAAAATGAATTGAAATACGAACTTTGGTATTTTATGATCGTATAAAAATGTGAATGTTTTGTCACAAGCATTGTGTATGCACATTGTACTTATATCTCTGCCAAATCTCATGTACTGTGTTAGATTATTCTTATTGGGCTTTGACTCACCCTATTTGGGAAAATCTTTTTCAGGTGCTGGTGACATGCCTCCGCTAAGGCAATAGCTTGGAGGGGCTTTTGGGAAGCAAGAGCTTCTTTATTTTGTTTTTATTCTTTTGTATAGCCAAGGGCTTTAATTGTATTGAGTTAGGCTCACTTTTGTGTAACCAAACAATGACTTGGAAAGATGTAAGCCTGTAGGGCATCTGACTATATGTTTTGTTTTTTTTCCGTCAACATTGTAACACATGCTGTAGATTCAGGATGAACATTTGTGAATGTATAATGCATGTGTTAACTTTTGTAAACGAACTCTGATGAATGAAAGTGTATCATTTCTGTTATTCTTCTGCTTTAAGGATTTGATTTACTGTAATAATTTGGGGGCGTTACAACCAAAACTTTAGAGGAGTTAAAGGGTTGAATTTGATGTTATATGTTTCTTCTTTGAGATTTTGTAAATTTTTCTCAGGGTTTACAATAGGACATAGTCAATTGTTTTGTTTGTTTATTTATTAAATTATTATAGTCATGAATTAATGTGATTTTGGTGCTTGCTCTGCTGCTGTGAGCTTTTGGTGCTTCCTGTTGATTGTGTTCTGTGAGTTGATCAAGATTAGGACTGCTTTGGATCAATTGATCAAATGGATGTTGATGACCCTGGTAATCCAGAAAAGAACTCTGGATCTGTTCCATATTCTAAGAATGTTGTTAGAACTTTTAACTTAGAGAAATCCAAGGTAAAAAACAAACTTTATGTAGGATCTCAAGCCTTGGGATTCCGCCGGGATCATATGGAGGTTAGTTTGTTGATTACATTAATGAGGAATTGTGGGACATTGTTTCATTACTTCTAAGTTTTATGGTTTTGATCATATGTTCTCCTATCTATGTTCTCCTATCTCATCAGGTGCTGTCACCCATAAAAGATGGAGTTGTGGTTGACTGGGATATAGTTGATAGCATCTGGGACCATGTCTTCAGGTAAGTAGTAATCTAAATTATCTTCTTATTAGTATACTAGTGCTTATCTTGTTCTCTTTTCAATTTTTTGATGCTCTAATGGAAGTTTGGCATGCTCAACCTGCAACCTGCCTAGATACTTTCTGCAGTAGATGGCTTAACTTTGTCTAGAACCAATGAGTTGTGATCTTCTTTCTCTATCGTATCCTATCTGACCAACTCATTGTACTTGTCTTTGGCACCTGTCAAAAACCTCTTGTATGAGAGTGACATAGCATAGCCTTTTCAGTTCCTTTCAACCACCAACATTTGAATGTCTCTGTGGGAAATATTTCTTCTTGATTAGTTGTCCTTTTGATCTGTTTGGTTAGATGGGACTGGAGGGGAAAGTAAAAATAATTATTTTTTTTGGAAACACTTTAAAAAAGATGCATAAAGAGAGCAGTGGTGTCCTTGTACTCTTTGGGAATGTGCAACTTCCACACTATTCAAATGCCAATAACCACATCATAGAGAAGTTAATACTTCATTCGGTATTCTCATTTTGCAGCGGGAGATATGCTTGAGGGAAGAAGAAACAATTTTCTTTTGGTCAGTGGTTATGCTGTGATGTGGTTTTATTCTTATTTTCTTCTATTTCATATTTCTTTTTTAGTCTTTTTTCTTCATGTTTCAACTGCAACAGTAGTCATAAAGGAGTTAATGTAGTAAAGTAAACTTTCATAAATCAGACCTGTTATGGGGGATGATTTAACAACGATTGTATGTCTGTTGTGCATGGATATGTTAGAGCAATTGCATTTTGTGGTTTTCAGTTCTGCTATTCATCTTCATTTTTTCAATAAAAAGACGTGGTCAATGTTATGGCCATTTGTTTGTATAAGCTCAGAAGCTTTGACATACATCATATTTGAGTGTCTTTTTTTTCTTTCATTAAGCTTTCTACTTCTTTAAAAATTTGTTGATTATATCAGTTTTCTAGTTTCAAAATTTTAGATATATTTCCACACAGAATAGAACAATGTATCTTGTGATTCCGGAAAGCTTGAATAAATCTTGGTTTATATTAGCTAGAAACCTCTTGTTAGTTGTCTCTTTCTTTTCTTTTTCTGGTGCCCTTTCTACTGCCCTTTTATCTTGTTGTGTTTGAAGTATTTCTATGAATTTCCTACTCATTATAATTGGCCTTTGTTAATTTTAGGGAATGTCTACTGGTTGATCCCAAAGAACATCCAATGCTACTAGCTGAACCATCTTCAAACAGTCAGCAACAAAGAGAAAAATGAGCTTGCAGTGAGAGCCCTTTCATTGGTTTGATGCTATATATCTGATCCCCATCTTTTTTTTTTTCAAAAAATTGAACTTTGTTTTAAAGATAATCTTAGTTCTCGGATGATAATTATGATACAACTGTTAAACAATCAAAATGATAAATAATAAAATGATACAACTATCCTTGACATTGCTCATCAAATGACTTCGAGATCATGATGAATTTAAAGGCTCGAATTTTGGTTTGAACGTGTTTTTTCATTTTTAAAATCGATGTAAAGTATTATAATCTACCAATGATCTAAAGAGTTTCTTGCCTTGTAGAGCGCTTACTTTTTTTCCATGCATTTACTTGAATCTAATTACTTGTTTTCTCTAGAAGATATATGAATTGCCTAACTTAAGTCAACTCATCCTGATTTTAATATTATAGTATGAAGCGTATGGCTTTATCTTTAGTAATGAAAATTGTTACATGTTGGACAGGACAGCAGAGCTTATGTTTGAAAAATACAAAGTTCCTGCCCTATTTTTGGCCAAGAATGCTGTATGCTCCTCATTCTACCCTTAAAATTGATACTCAATGCAAATTGAAAATTGGTATTTCATTACTTGTTTCTCTCTCTCTCTCTCTCTGTGAGATAGTGCAGTCTTTAATTTGTTGTAATAACTTAATATTGACAATGGCAGGTTCTCACATCTTTTGCATCTGGACGGGCTACCTTTTTGGTTGTTGACAGGTTTTTCGATTTAGACTTGGTTCATTACTTGTGTAGCTTTTGTTTTCAGGGCAAGTGGTTGTTGAGCAATGTTCTTTTGTTCTTTTCAATTATTTAGCCATTATGGACTGAACAACAACAACAAATAGTGCCCTAAACCTAGTTGAATGTGCCAAATCACTTTATAGGGGGAAACAAAATTGTTTATGTAATTAATACTCTATGTAACTGTGAGTTCTGAATCTGCTTTTGCAGTTCTGAGATTTATTTCTTTTTTCCTAATATTGATTGGTTGCTGAAATTGACACTAATCAGTTGTATTTCCATGACTACTAACTGATTCAGTGGTGGTGGCTCAACTACCATCGCCCCTGCACATGATGGTTATGTTCTCCAAAAGGTATTCCTCGTGAACAAGTGAAAAGATGACATTGTGTTTATCTTGTTAAATTTTTTATTATGTTCCAAACTTAATTCTACATCTTAAAAGTCAAACTCATATTTTCTAAAAGTTTCTAATCAGTTCATATGTCAGCTATCTGTTATCTTCATCACTGCGTGGATACCTGTATAAGTCATCACACATTATAAAACATATTTCATAGTTATTTTTGTTTTTTGGCACCATTGATTCAGGTGGAAATTTGAATTATTATTGAATTTGTGATCTGTAATTTACTTTGTTAATGTGGAGAGTTTTGAGAAGGGATGCATGTCATTGTCATGATATCACTATTTAAATATGTGTTCATTAAAGGCACCTAAAAGTGTGCAACCTATGTATACCAAGTGCACCAATCTAAAGTCAATAAAACTAGGATTAACTCTTTTTTTGTTTTTTTTTTTTATCGGCAATAAACTAATGTTAACTACAAAATGTACTAAAGAAAAAGAATATTTTCAAGACTTGTAACCGAACATTTGCAGTAATGAGGTCTTCAAACAAGAATAACACACATTTGTTGGAAAAGGATACACAGCTTTTGAAGAACATTTACGCTGTGTTTGGTTGGAGGATTTGAGGAGAGATTTAGAAAGGAAAAGGGAAAGGGAAAAATTAGGTGAAATATGAATAAAATATACCTACATTTCACCTAGTTTCACACACCTTTTCTCTATCTTTTTCTTTTCCCTTTCCAAATTCCTCTCCAAATCCCCAACCAAACACAGCATTAGTTAATGGAGAAGGGTACACAAATATTTTTAGGATACTCTGTGTTTGTTAAGGATACACACTTAGTGTGTCTAGGATCATTACCTTATTTGGTGATTTTCCTATATGATATTTTGAATAAGTAGTGTTTTTTCTTAATTAGTAATGTTAGGTTGCCTCAATTGACTTTCTATCAAGTTAGCCTCTCCTAATGGTAAATTTCTTTTAGTTTTTTTAAGCAGGGTTAAATTTAGTTCAAATAATTTATTTTTGTTGAATTACCTTTATTTTTGCAACCACAAAAGTTGAAAGAGTATATGAAATGTGTCCGTAGTTAAGGTATTTTCTTTTAAGAGTTTGTTCCCTAACCTGTGACTTTGTATTTTCAACCGTGATTTAGTAACTTGAAAAAATTGAAAAAATTGAAAAAATTATAATGGACTAATGGGTGATGACTTATAGCAAAAGAGTAGGCAGTAAGATTAATCTATGCCAAATTTAGTCTCCATTAATGGGGTCTGGAAGGAGTGTACTAGGTAAGACACATCCCTGGTATTATTTGTGCAGAGTGTTGAACTCAGGTTCAAACTTACAACCACAGGTTAATAGGGTGAGTTTGACTGCCGAACTAGCGGTCTCCTATTAAACAACAGTCATAATGTGAGAATAGAAATTTGGGATGGGTCGCCATGGAATTAGAAAATGTTTGATAAATAGGAAAATTTGTAAGAAATTTTATCCAGAGCCAAGACAGGGTCAATTAAAGTGTTTGCTGGCAATATTGAGGGTATCAAATTATGGTTAATCACAATTAGCAATTTAACCTTCGTTTTCTTTTTTTGTTATATATTGTTGTTTTTTGTCAATAGGCTGTGCATTCTTCGCCAATTGGAGGAAAATTTCTTACTGATTGCTTGATGAAAAGTTTGGAAAGCAAAGGCCTCACTGTGAGTCACTACTTCGAAATTTTGAGGAGGTTAGTTATATGAAATAGTTGTGTATTTGACTAAAATATATTTGTATTTTGGTTGCAGATAAAACCAAGATATTCTTTTAAAAGAAAGGAAATACGACCTGGAGAGTTTCAGGTTATTTATGACCTTATATCTTTTCAATGGCACTTTTTTGTATTAGAACAAATTTATCATAATTAGGCCTCATTTGGAATTAGGTTTTTTCTAGCTTTTTTAATCTGCTGCTTAACTAGATTTTAGTTTTAGCTTTTGGTTAAAAAAAAAAAAAAGTCAAAAACCCACTTTAAAAGCCCCCTTAAAAGTTAAAAAAAATGAATGTTAATTGAAAAAGGATAATAAGACAAAAAAAACTCCCTTAAAACCCTTTTTTAAGCCAAACCAAATGAGGCCTTAATGGTTGTCTTACAAGCTAAGACCCAGAAGTGGCCTGTTTTATTATCTTTTATTAATACTTAATTTTTTTTTTATTACCTTTTCAAGAATTATGAATATAGTCCTTTGAAATTTGCAGTATGGTTCATGTTCAGTAGTGTCATTTCTTCATGATCCTGATGAATGATATAACTTCACAACATGTCATGCAATAATTTCTCTTTCTTTCTAAACCACTTACCATGGTTTCTATATAGAGTTCTTCATCTTTTCCTAACTCTTTAGTTTCAATGTAAATATTGTAGTGAAGCTGTTGTTTGGTGATTTAATTTTACTTCATTATCTTTGGATGAAATATTCAAATATATGATATAATAAAGATATAAATTTATATGTTTTTGTGTGTGTCACTCAGGTGTTGTGTCTTTCATTTTTCAAAAATTTGTCTATTGGTGTGTCCGTGTCATGTCATGTCATGTCATGTCATGTGTTCATGTCCGTGTCTGTATTTGTGCATGTCACTCAGGTGTCGTGTGCTTCTTGCTCTGTTGCTGTGAGCTTTCTTCATTTTTTTTTTCCTTGCAGGTAGCTAGAGGTGTAGTGATGTGTGTTTATGGACATGATCAGTTTGTCGGTGCATGAATTCTAAGTTATGCTTATACGTAGACTTTTAGATATATTTCGCATTAGACAAATATGACACGCGCTTGGATATATGAATGGTTTTTGAAATCTTTGATAATTTTCTCATATATGTTTTTGATTTGGTGAATATTCATTGTAAAGTAAATGGATGGAAGGATGGTAATTTTGTGAAGTAAATGGATGGATAGATGGTTGTTTTGTCAAATATTAATGGGTTCATGTTGATGGGGGTAGTAATTAGATGGATTAATGATTATTTTGATTTCCTTTTGATGGTTTTTTGTTTGTAGATTGGATTGTTGATGGATTTTTATGTTGAAATTAATTGGATGGACATGAATTATGCATTAATTGTAAATGTATTACAGGTATTACAAAAAAAAGTAGCATTACATTGACAAAAATGCAGTTTAAAATTGAAAGTTTTTTTGCGACCAATAAAATTGTAGTCGCAATAGGTCCTTGGCAAGCTTGTGGCTGTGCTAGACTTTTCACAACTAAGATATATAGTTTTAGTCTCCAAAAACCACATTTCAGTGACTAAAATTGGTGGTCGCAATTGTTACGTTTCAGCGACTAGATTTTTCGTCACAAAATGAACTACTTTCGAGAATTACTTTCAGTGACTAACATCGATGGTCGCAATTGTTGCTTTTCAGCAACTAGATTTTGTGTCGCAAAATGAGCTACTTTCCGCGACCAAGAATATGGTCGTGAATACCTACTTTCCTCGACCAACTTTTGGTTTGGTCACCAAAAACCTTTTGTGACCGGCTTTTAGTGACTTCATTACGACTAACTTTTTTTCGTTGCTAAAAATAATCAGCGACTAGATATGAGCTTTTTGCGACCAGCTTTTGATCACTAAAAGTGTTATTTCTTGTAGTGTTTTATCGAGCCGAGCTCGAGTAGTTTGATATTTTATATAATTTTAGGCTTATTGAACCAAGTCGAATGAGCAATTAACTGTTCAGCCTTGGTTTGAAAACCTTAAAGAGCTCTAAAATGTATTCAAACTTTGCTTGTTTATTTAATGAACTGAGTTCGAACGAACTTTTAACAAGCCAAACACGAGTCAAGCTCAAGCTTTCGTTTGTTTATCACCCCTACTTCCAACTCTTCCAATTTATGTTCCTTTTTCTCCACATTCTCCATCATGTTTTCCACATGTTTAATGCTGCTTTTTTTTTCTGCTCATTTCATAACTTTTTATAACCTCGAAGTAAGCAAGACAATGCTACATCTTCTACAATTATAAATAATAACCAATGATAATAATTATTTATTTATTTATGGTGACAATCAATATATTAACTCTAGTTGTCTTGACTTATTGTTGAATGTGTAATATGTAAAATTTTGTATTTTTTTATAAATTAAAAAAAAATGTCATAAGAAGAGAAAGTTGAAAACAAAAAGGAAGCCATAGAAGGAAATGAAATAATATAGAAGTCTTCATTGTTATGAGATCTGATCATTAATGGCGCTGATTATGAGCTAATATCGTAAATAAACTAAATCTGAATCAAATATCAATATTTATATCAAGAACATATGAGTTTAAAATAATAATAATAATAATAAAACAGGTATATATTGACATGCAAGTGATTGTTTTATTGAAAATGTATGAGATTTCCAAAATAATTTCCAATTCCACTCACAATAATGTAGCGTTTCAACTTTTAATTTATCACACTTAATCATATAAGGTCCAACTCTCTTACCACATGACTGACTGTAACTGAATTTGTTGGCCTAAATTATAGCCTCTAACGTTTCTCTTATTATTATTGGGAGTGGACTTCCTTTACAGGGCTGTGTGTCATTAAAATGATAGGTTTTTTACCAATCAGTCCCAATAATGGAATCTATTACCCATTAGGTCCTAAGTTTATATCTCATGCACCAGCAAGTTCTGTTATATTTTTTTTTTATCCCGACTTTGTCCTTGTTGTTATACTTTCACGCGTTTGGTTTTTTTTTTTCCTCCTAGTTTCCCGTTTTATTTTTTGAACTTCAAATTGCGAATCTCCGACAATATTTTTTTTGGCCATTTTTCATCTCCAACACGTCACCACCACAACCACCTCCTCATATTTGGTGGCGATGAGAAAAAAGAGAAAAAAAAATGAAGAGAATGAAGGAGAGAGATAAGAAGTCATTACTAGGAAATAATTCTCATCATTTTATGCTATCACAAATCAAGCCAAAGAATCAAAAGTCTAATTCAATGATAAATTTATCATGCAACAAATCTCAGCCAGAGTTGCCATGATAAATTTATCACTGTTGAATTTGTTAAAAAATTGACAAATAGCATACTTGATTTCAGAGAGAGAGGGGCATCATAACAAATTTATCACTGAATTAAGTAACAAATTTATCAGATCAGTTAGATGTCTATAGAAGATCAACAACACATTTCAATGCACTGATTGGAGACTTTGCATCCCAAACCGGTGATGGAGAAAGATGGTGGCAACGATGATGTCAAAGATGGTAGATCAGTGATAGAGAAAGATAGTGGCAATGACGATGTCGAAGATGGTAGATCGATGATGGAGGATTGCAGTGTTGAAGCTATTAATGAATGATAGTGGAGGAACAATGATGATGGCAACGAGGGAGAAGGACGGTGGTGGTTGAGGTGAGTATGGTTGAGCCGAGCGACATATAAGGTGATGGAGGAGGAGGAGATGGTGTGCCAGTGAGAAACATGAGAGTGAGAGAAAGAGAAAAGAGAGAAATAGAGATAGGAATGACTCAATTGAATGTAAGGGGTAAAAATGGAAGATGGGCTAAATTATTTTGGGTCAAAACTTCTTGGGAATTAAGTCTAGTCCAAAGGACCAGCCCGTATCGCCCCCTTAAATGATCCTCTGAGTGGGCCAGAAACATGGAGGTCATTTACAATTGCTTCTATAAATGGGCCTGCACAAAGTGGGCTAAGGAATGGGCAAAAGTGTGGGGCCGATCCTCTTACGCAAATGGACTTAAATCTAATTCATAATGTTCATGGGGATATCCCTCAAAAAGGCCATACTCAATGGGATTTTGACCAATTCTCGAACATCCTTTGGAATGTTGTTTTTGTTGTTACTTTATGAAAATATGGAAGGACAGAAATAATATAGTCTTTAGACAGGAGGAGAGACATGTGCAAGAAACAATTAGAAGGATTCTTCACTAAGCAACTGAAATTCATCAAGCTTTCCAATTTGACCAATTCATAGGTAGTGCGTAAGTCCTTTAACTAATTGGTGCCCTCCTCGTGCAGGTAAAATAAAACTCAATACAAACAGATGCTTTAAAGGCAATCCTAGCCCTGCAGGATATGGTGATCTTTTCAGAGATGAAAGAGAATCCTGGATTCTAGGCTATTATAGGAAACTAGGGTCAACCACAACTGAAGAAGCTGAGCTTTGGAGAGTGTATAGAGGCCTTACTATCAATTTGGAGAAAAGTTGGAAGGATATCTCCATTAAGAAAGATTCGAAACAAGTGGTGTTGTACATCAACGATAGCCAGGGGCGGAGGCATGTTGGGACCAAGAGGTCACGTGCCCTCCCCCCCCCCTCAATTTTTAGAAATTGTACTTTTATCCTTATTTGAAAAATAATTAATTTTTAAAATTCAAAATATTTCATAATTTTTTATCTCATTTTTGTATTTTTATTTTTATTTTTGACAGCATCTTTGCAAAACCAACATGGTTAATCTATTAGTTAAAATTCTTGCATTTTTCATTATGAGGTTAGAGGTTCAAAGATCTCAATCTAGTTATGGATTGTATTTTTCTTGTTATTTATTTATGATTTTTCTCTCTTATTTTTGAAAATATTTATTTATATTAGTTATATGGTGTATTGATTTTCATTATGATTATAATTCATTAGTTTCATTATAACATGATTCATTAATTAAAAATAAAATACAAATTCTTGTAATTTGTTGCTCTAAATATTTAATTTTGCTAAAATATTTTCTTTTAAATTCTATATTATTTCTCTCTCTTTTCTCTCATATCTTTCTCTTCCACTCTCTTTTATCTTTGGGTGTATTTTGGTGTAATTTTGTCATTCACATTTTTAATAATAGCATGTGATCGCATTTTAAATTATAATGATCATCATGTTCACAAAACTAAAATAGTAAATCATATTAATAATAAATAAACAATCAAAAATCAAAAACATAAAGCAAAAAAACTAACTAACTTGAGCATAACTTTAAAATTTTAAATATGAAACTATGTTCATTTTTAGTTGTTTTATCCTCAATTAAGAATCAAAATTATTTGTATTGTGGTGGAGCACTATAATCTTAACTTAATGTTGCCCCTCCTAAATCGAAATCCTGGCTCCATCACTAACGACAACACACCTAGCCAATTCCCATACAGAGCTATGCTAGAAGACATCAAGTTCCTTATGAAGAGATGCGATTGCTCTGTTACTCACATTCTTAGGGAAACAACCAAATGTGCCAATGGCCTTACTAACATGGGAGTCAATCATGTTAAGAACCTAATAGTTTTAGATGATCCCCTAAATGAGATTGCAAGTCTCCTAGCTGCAGACATTATTGGGACTTCTTGTTAAAGGGCCTGATCTGTTTGGTCCTCTGTTATACTTCTGTTTGCTTTCTTTTTTGTCATGTACTCTGTTCATTTTAATCAAAATAAATAAATAAATAAATAAAGATAAAAAATTGGGATTCTACTTTGGTGGGTTATTTCTTGGGCAATAAGTTGTGGCTTCATTTTGTTAAGAAAATATAATTATAATAATAATAAATTCGTATCCAAGCCTACCCTTTCCCTCATTTCGTCTCCCCCTCCTCTCTGTGTGGACTGAGTTGTCAATCACTATCTCCTCTTCCCCTTTTTTTTTTTATTATTAT